GGGAATAGAGCGGTGTTGCCAGGAGCAATTGTGTCTCACTACCACAAAACTCTGAGTTAGATTAAAGGCCATATTCTACAGCTCTTCAAAGAGGTTGAAGATTATCTATCTATACTGAGTATAATCTCTATTTATCTAAAGAACCTGATTAGTCTAATTATAAATGACAAACTTAGATGACTATTAATCTATATAATTCTCAATATCTATCTAACTTAAAGACTAAGACAATAAACTGTGAAACAAATGAGGACAATGACCTCCAAATATAAACAATATACAAATATACACTGCAGTATGGTAAATATATATCAATACACAAACAATATATAAGTATCTTAATCAGAGGTAGAAATGTACGCTGAAATATGGTAAATATACAATATAACCCCCACCCCATGTCACTTATTCACTTAAGAAACATCCAAGCCTACTGTGGTTAAACAGCAAACACGGGGGATCCATGACTTCAAGGTGGATGTCACTAGAGGAATGTAAATTGGGACAACCACTTTGGAAAAGGAGCATCACATCTGGCCCAGAACTATTCATAACTGCCCAAGGCCACAAACAATCCAGATGTTCATCAACATTTGACAGATAGTGTGTGGTATGTTCACCCTAAAATGAATCAACTACAGTCTATAGTAGTAGGTATACTACTACTCACCAATATACAGTTTAGACGAAGCTTTAAAAACCCTAGTGCAGGGGCTAGAGCAATGGCTCAATGGATAAAAAGCACTGACTGCTATGAAGAGGACCAAGGTTCAACTCCCAGCCCCTACAAGACAGCTCACAACTGTAACTTCAATCTTAGGGATCTGATACCCTCTTCTGGCCTCCCTGAGCACTAGACACACATAATACAAACATACAGCTGAAACACCAACACATAAAAATACACCAACTTTAAAAATGTAAACACTATGGTACACGAATTTACACAATTATCTATATGTCCATGTCTGTGTGTGTGTGTACATATACATACATATAGCCAACCAAAAGACAAATCTAAGCCTGGTATAGTGGCGCAGCACTCGGGAGGCAGAGGCAGGAGGATCTGTGAGTTCAAAGCCAACCTGGTGGGGGCTGGAGAGATGGCTCAGCGGTTAAGTGTCACGAGCCACTTCCCTAAAAATCATTACAGAAACCATCACCCTAGGGAGTCTGCAGAGAACCTCACACCCATAATTATGTTCTATTGAAAAAACCTGCCCCACACCCAATTAACTTATCTGTTAGGAGAACCCACCTCACATTCCAGCTATCCAGGGAACCAGGTGTGGCAACTTGTGACTTCTGGCCTACCTGTCCGAATGTAACCTGGCCTACGTGACCGGAACCACGTGGCGAGATCCCGTGCCCTGCCCCCCATTCCTTACCATATAAACTTTAACCCGTCCCTAATAAACGGAGGCTTTGACAAATCTACTTGGCCTCCTTCTGTCTTAGCTCATTCCCTTACAGGGTGGGTTACAAACCCCTAGACTGAGTAGCCCACCCAACGCAATCGACAGTTGAGAGCATTGCCTGCTCTTCCAAAGGTCCAGAGTTCAATTCCCAGCAACCACATGGTGGCTCACAACCATCTGTAATGAGACCTGCAGGAAGAATACTGCATACATAATAAATAAATATTTAAAAAAAAAAAAAAACAAAGCCAGCCTGGTCTACAGAGTGAGTTCCAGGACAGCTAGGACTACACAGAGAGACCATGTCTCAAAACAAACAAGATCTACAAGAATGTTGCATATTGCATAAAGGTGAAAGAATAAACAGCTGTGCTGTTTAGAGGTTTGTACTTAGGAGACATAGAAAAAGGGGATTATTTCTATTAAAGCCGGTGTAGTAACTGGCTGCCCTGAAAAAGTAGTGTGGAGAGGGGGGGAGAAAGATGAAGTCCACTTCTTGGCCTACAAGATTAAGTTACACTTACATTTTCTCTAAAATAACTTTATAAGTCACATTGAAAAGGTTAAGTAAATACTACCAAACATTCTCCTAGCCCAGGGAAAGAACCCGTCCTCTGAGCGTCACTGTTACTCAGCCTCTAAGGTCAGGGCCCTCATTTGTCCTCTACCTCAGCACTCAGCCCAAGGCCTCCGGAACAGCAAAACTTGTTTGCTAGGTGAACCCACGCACTGCTTACAGGCTGACATGCATTGTGTTACGGGAACCTTTTCCTCACATTGCCAGCTTAAGCTGTGACCCCCATTTGCCGACTTCCTGCTTTCTTTTCTGTTGTGTCTCCCCGGTGAAGCTATCATAAATAATGAAGCTACCACCTTAAATGCCGGCCCTGTAAGTTTATACCCAGGCTGCCTTGGTTGCTTTAGCAACTCTCCCTGCCTTCCACTCCCTCTTGTGTCTTCTCTCAGGAAGGGCAATCCACTGCTGTTGGTCGTGCCTGCCTGTGTTTTAATAGGGAAGTTTCCATTTTGCACCTGAGAGTAAAGCCCAGGCATCGTGAGTCAATTACTCTCAAGATGTTTGTGAAGGGCTCATTTGCCTGTTGCTGGGAGAAATACCAAGGTGCAGTCGGAGGTAACGTAAATTTTACAATCAACTGTACTTTAAAAGCATGCTACCTGTCCTAGAAACCAAATCCCTATAAATAGGACCAGTCAACTTTAAAATAATTCTGTTAACAAATCACTTATGCAAATACACATCTATGAAAATGGTAGGAAGAATCTACGAGAGGCCAACAGAAAGACACACAGCTGTTCTTCCGAAGGTGATTAAAGGGAGACAAAGACCTCATCTGTAAAGTTTTAATTTCTCATACAGAATGAGCAAAGCTCAATTGTGATGCTGGGAAAATATTTTGAATCCATCTTGTTCTAAAACAAAACCCCACATTCAAAGGCATACACCCAAGAGTTCTCAATTTCCCAGACTTAGAGCCTCTAGCCATTTCTTAGGATAGGAGTAGATCTGAATGCTATTCGATTAAGGCATCTCACAGAATGCATACCTGCAGTCCGCCAGTAGCAAAGATTACCGAGGAGAACTCGGCTCAGTCGCGCTCGACAAGGATGCTGAGAAGACTCGAATGAAGCCAACTGTCTCCCGTTTTATGGGGGAAAGCCAAAAATACCAAGCAGCTTTTCTCCTCCCCCAGCGTCAGAAGGTGAGTCAGAGCTGGAGGCAGGAGCGGGGCCCACGTGTCAAAGCCGCCTGTGCAGGGCTCCTTCCTCCCTCCACCTGGGAATTCTCGGCCCTCATCTGACCCTGATGTGTATTCTTAAGGTGTCTCTGGCGTGGCTACTCCTTCTGGGGGAACCTCATTCCTCCGTTTATCAAAGGAACCGACACAAAAGGCAATAGCAAAATTGCAGCCCTAAACACACATAACTTTGCAAAGAAGACGTACAGTACCTTTGTTCCCCCTTTCTTAAAGAGGAAACAATTAGAAAAAAAGAGTTGTATCTTGTCCAAGAGACAACTTAGATTTGTTGTGGAAGCCTGCTGCTGCAGACCACTGACCCTGGCCTCTGACCTTTCACGTCCTCAGGGAGGACGTTCCGGTATTTCATTAAAGTTCTAAGCGGCCAAGAATCTGCGTTAAAATTCTTGGACCACATTTCATTAAAGTCGGTTAGGAATCCAAATCTTTGCCTTCGTTTTTACATCTGCAAAACGGGAAAATACGGCCCAGCCACTTATAAACCCACTGAAAACTAATCAAAGAACATTAGCCAAATGCCTAAGGCTCTCCTGAGTGGAAAGTACAAGGTGTTGTTATTAGTAGCCCTAAACAGTGAGACTACTGGTAAACCACCCTCCTTCCCTTGCCTCCAAGATGCCCGGTTACCACAACACACTAGCCGGTGCCACTGGCAGCATCCACTTCAATACAAGGTAGTTATACAATCCACGTATGGCGGCTACACCACTCGGCTCCTTCCCCTACCCCAAGCCCAACACAGTTCAACTTCGCTCCAGAGCAAGGAGACTTAGGAGAAATAAGAACCATACGTGAGCACCGCACAGCAATCTACAATTGAGGAGAGACGCACAAGTTGAGTACTTGGCATCGCAGAAAGCCAAGTGTTTCCAAGGGCTGGCGGTGCCGGTTGCGGGTGCACGCTCGCCAGATGAGGCTCGGGGGTCCCAGCCTCTCCCACCCCGCGCCTCGAGGCAGCCGGGCACCCGCACAAAGTTTGTAGAGCCGAGGGTCGCGAGGGACCCGGGTACCTCTGGCGTCCTCTGCACCTCGTACCGAGCGTCCCGGCAGTGGTGGCGGCTTTCGGGTCTGTGCAGCTTACACGGCTCGCGGCTTCTGCCCGCCGGCCTCGCGCGCCTCCCGCTCCCTGTGCGCCGCCGCCCTCTTCCGAGGGCGGGCCCGCGGCGAGGACGCGCGTGAGTTCCGGGCACTGCGCGTGCGCGCTGCGGCGCGGGAGGGGCGTCTCGGCCCCGGTGCCTGCTCACCTGGGCGCGCTCACTGACTCTCCTGGGGCGACGTCCCTCAAGCCCGCTTCTGGGTTGGAGTTCGAGGGTTCTGTTCAAATGCCGAGAGGTAACTGCAGGAAAACGCTGGATAAAAGGTGTGAGCGTCTGAGCGGGTGACTCATTACCACCTCTCAGCCACCCTCGCCTCCTCCACTGCACGAGTCAGCCCCGGGTGCGGACGCCAGGACGAAGGCCAACTCACTCCGTTTTGTGTTTGTTGAGACAGGGTCTCACTATAAAGACCAGGTTGGCCTTGAACACACAGAGATCCTCCCGCCTGCACCTCTGCCTCCCTAGAGCTGTGATTAAAGGCATGCACCACCACGCCCCCAACTAACTCTTCTGGGTGAATTTTGATGAACAGGTGCTGGCAGTTTCCAGTAACCGGGAAACTCCAAAGTAGGTAAAGCCTCCCAAACCGCCGACACCACACTGACACACTGACAGTGCCTAACCATGGCTCCTATGTACTACCAGGGCTGATACGTGGATCCCTTGAGGTTTATTTGCTTTTATTCTGGAGGGTCTTTTCCCTCTCTCTTAGGTCTTCCCACCTGTAATGAGTAGATGCAAACTGACATTTTGTTTGTTTGAGGCAGGGTTTCTCTGTTGCTTTGGAGCTTGTTCCTTAACTAGCTCTTCTAGACCAGGCTGACCTTGAACTCACAAAGGTCTGTCTGCCTCTGGAGTTCTGGGTTTAAAGGCGTGTGCCACCACCGCCTGGGGGGGGGGGCGGCAAACTGACTTTCTTTAGAACCACCCTGCTCTCCTTTTGCCAGCAAAACTTGAGGCAGAGTGGATGGGACAGGGGAGGTAGAGAAGACTTCCTCCAGCCTCTACAGTGAGTCAGACTCCAGAAGTCCTGACTTGGTGCCGGTCTGTGCTTACCAGAGCCATGTCCTCACTGTAACAAATAGTTGGCTGAAGTCAAACTAGTAGTCATGGATTTGTGGGGGGAGGGGACAGAGGTGGAGCACCCTGCACGTGGGAGTTTACAGCTTCTGACATCCCTTAAGCAAAAGCTTGGACTTTTTGTTTTGTTTTGGTTTTTTGTCACGAGCCATTTCCCCCCTAAAAATCATTACGGGGGAGTCTGCAGGGAACCTCACACCCATAATTATGTTCTATTGACAAAATCTGCCCCACACCCAATTAACTGTTAATCTGTTAGCGGAACCCGCCTCACATTCCAGCTATCCAGGGAACCAGGTGTGGCAACTTGTGACTTCCTGGCCCACCTCCTGGCCTACGTGACCTAGAACCCGCGGCAAGAATCCTGTTTCACTGCCCCTCAAAGTCCTCATCCCGGGCCTATATAAGCAGCAACCATGACCCTAATAAATGGGAGGCTTTGACAAATCTGCTTGGCCTCCTTCTTCCGTCCTAGCTCATTCCCTTCCAGGTAGCGCCCCTCCGTTACAAATATCATTAGGTTAATTTCAGTAAGAGTACAATGACATACATTGTTGTCAAATACCACCAGTTCCAGTCCCTGAGCAACAGTGACAGGAACCCCAATCTTCCCCCTTCTTAAGTGAAGAGGTGTTAATATTGTAATTAAAATGAGTTTTGTGTCCCAAGGATAAAAGCAGTCTGATGTTTAGTCTACACCTTAGCTCCAAAGCAAACCAGAGTTCAAACTGTAGAGGCAGTTTAGCATTTGTGCTTCAGGGCAGGTGGGATTCCTGGGTGAGGTGAGCTGGATTCAGCTATCTGAAGCACATCCTGGCACTTATCTCGGGCGGGTCTCCCTGGACTCTGAAGGCAGGATGACACCCTGCAGAGTGGCGTAGCAGGTTCTGTTATCAGGCACTCTTCTCCTTGGGAGCAGGAAAGACTGGACCAAGGACCTCTCTCCAATTGCCTCTGGAAGTCCTCTGTGGGATGTCCGCAGTCTGGACTCAGATCCAGATTTTTTCTTTTTGTGAAAAAAAGTATAAACACATCCTCGACCCCAAATATATATAGGTCGGGTTTTTTTTTATAATGTATTGTAAGGGCTTTTCCACCTTGTCCTAGCAAAGGTCAGCTTGGTGTTATCATGTCAGATCCGTTTGCATCTGGATCTGCTTGCAACTTTCATAAGCTGCTTTGAAGGAGCCTTGTTATACTCCACAATTTTTTTTATTAGCCATATATGCAGTTCCTCCATTGGAAGAGCCATTTGTAAAATTTTAGCATAAAATCCTTTAAGGGATTTTTTGCTATAACATTAGCAAAATACAGTTGTGTGAATTGTAGCAATGATCTGGGAAAGGATTATCGTTTTTGGCCTTTGAATTGAGCAAAGGCAATTGTCCAGGAATCCATCTTAAAATTATCAATGAATCTATTATTTAGTATAAGAAACATTGATCATAGTTAATATTTTATTAAACCATTTTTTTAGATGTTATCCTGTCCTTTTATATCAGACAGGCTACTGTTCTAAATTAAGAGTTTAATATCTTAACTGGCAAAACTGGGAAGGTTTAGCCATAAACAGCATTTTTTATAAAACTGTTGTAGGATAAGTTTATACTTAATATACATATTCTTGTCATAGCTGAATTATAATTAATATATTGTATTTCTTGATTATTGTATACTTTACCTGTTGATTTATACTTTATCTGTTTGAGTACCTGCTAGGCTCTCTGTTGGAAACTGTTTTTTGTAAGAATTTTACCTGGCAGCTCAAGGTCTCCCATAAGAATATTATAACTAGGGCTTTAACCATTGAATATCTAATTAAAAGTTTGTAAGCTATCCTCCTCTTAAATTTTAAGTCTGCCTTGCAGATAGGAAAATGGAAAAATGAAGCATTTTAACCAATAATGCTGGTCTCATTAGACACCAACAAGTAGAAAAATGAAAATAGATTTATATCCATCTCCATGTACAAAATTTAAGCCCAAATGAGCCAAAGGCCTCAGCATATAAAAATTTATGTTGAACCTCATAGAGAAAAAATTTTTTGAAGTACATTTTGCCACATCGTTGCCACAGTCTCAGTGGCACAAACATTGTGAGAAACCATAAATTAGATCTCCTGAATTGAGAACCTTTTGTATAACAAGGCTATAGAGTGGGAAAAGATCTTTACTTATCATAAATCTATTCTAAAAATATATGAAGAACTCAAGAAATTAGTTATTAAAAATTTAATCCAATAAAAATATTTGTTATAGACCTAAACTGAAAAACTCTTAACAAACGAACCCCAAAATGACCGAGAGACACCTAAAATGTTTGAATATAACATCATTTAACTGTCAGAGAAATGTAAATCAAAACTCTGAGATTTTACCTTATCCTTGTAAAAATGACCAAGATTAAAAATTATTGTTAACAATTTATGCTTAAGAAAACGTGGGTAGGGAAAAAACTCGCTGGAAGTGAGCTGCAGCCGGTGGCTGCAGCGGCGGCGCTGGGAGCGATGACTTGTGTTGGAAGTGCATACTAGATAAATCCAGACTCTCCCAGCAGGAAGAGAAAAATCAAAAATCCAGGATTAGCCTGAGGGCACCAGACCTCATTCCAGATGGTTGTGAGCCACCACGTGGTTACCGGGAATTGAACTCAGGGCCTTTGGAAGAGCAGGCCAGGCCCTTAACCTCTGAGCCATCTCTCCAGCTCCCCTAGCAGGAAGAGGAGAATCAAAAATCCAGGGCTAGCCTGTTCAGTGACTGCACCGGGAACTAACTCAATACAAAGCCAGACTGCAATCTTGAAAAACTAGTTTTCCAGCTGCAATTATCACAGTACTGTTTTAGGAACTAGCTGATTATGACCCTGGGAGTGGTCCCGAGAGGCAGGGAGCCGCGCCCCTGTGACCATCACTGGGTTTTTGAAAATTTTTATGACCCTCCTGGACTACTGGGCTGTGGTCTATTTCCTCAAAAAGTCTTTTTCCCCCGTCACTTGGGGTCGAACTCCTCCCCCACCAACCAAGGCCATGTGCTACCTCAGCAAGGACGGTCTTTGGCAAGCCATGTGCGGCCGCGCCCTCCCAAGACCTGAGTGAGAGTCTCCCCAGCAGTGAGGGACCTCCATTATGTAAAATTAGGCAAATATCTACCTGAAAACTTAGTAGTACCCCTTTTGGGCCTAAATATAAAGTTGTTTAACCAAACCACAAGGACACGTGCTCTGCCTTGCCCACAGTAGAACTACTTTATCATAGCCAGAATCTAAAAATTGTTCCTGAATTGGCAGGGAGTGTATCACAGAAAATTCTGAAAACACCAGTGAAGATTACTAGGGGGCAACTTCACGCCTCTCAGGACCACTCCCAAGGTCATAATCAGCTAGTTCCTAAAACACGTCACAATGGCAATCACAAGTTTCCCTGTTTCTCAAGATTATTCTCAAGATTACAATCTAACTTTATCTTCAGCTAGTTCCTGAAACGCAGTCACTAAACTGGCTAATGCTAGATTCCGGATTCTTCTCTTCCTGGTTAGATTTTTGGCTATTTTCTTCCTGCTGGGGAGGTCTGGATTTACCCAGGTCTTTCAGTTTCACACCCCTGTCCCCCAAAGACCATGAGCCTCAGGTCTCGTGGTTCTGTGTTCTTCAGTCAATTCACATGACTCAGCACCAACACATTCCTCTTTAAATTCCAGTCATTTTTGTTTGTTGGGTTTGTTTTTGCTTTCATTATTATTTGCACGTGTG